AAAAAAAAAGGAGAGAAAAAAAGGCAGGCTCACAGGATTCACTCTGGAGGGACAACCCAGTCCCGGGAGAAGATCCCGAAATGGAGGGAAGATTTCACACCACAGGTCCGAAAGGCAGATTTGTCAAGGGAATTTGGCGGGTCGGGATTACTGTATTCAACCGGCCCAGTCCCTCCCCACAACGGGTCTATGTCACTACCCTCCTTTCCCTCCCTATCCAACTCTGCCAGCAGACGACGATAGGTCCTGGACTCTTTTGCTTCTTGCCGGCAGATTCAAACACAGCCAACAGCAGCGGTCCTTTTGCCCACATTCATGTTGGCTCCGGGAGCTTCAAGTCCCGTAGCGAAGATGAAGGGCACTCGCGCGCTGCTGGGAGGGTCACGTGAGGGTCACGTGCACCACGGGTGCGCGGGAACTCGGGTCGCCGCCTCCTTTGGGGGAGGAGGAGGGGGAGGAGCGTCTCCTTCGAGCCTCGCTCCAATCGTTGGCCTGCCACAGGCAGTTTGAGCTTGTTCTCCTTTGGTGAACCTTTTCCGCAGTAAAGTGTTACGAGTTTACGGTGCTGTAGACGCGACACGGCTGAGCGGCTTCTTTCCTCAGTTTTTTTCTCCTCGCTTACCTCCCAGTTCTGAAAGTCTTGTAGGATTCTGACCAAGCATTGAATGCAACTCGGCATTATTCTTTATCCTCATTTAACAGCATTTATTCCTCGCCTCCCGTCATTTTTAAATATGACACGGTTATATCGGGGTTTTTTTCCCCACTCCCGCAAGGGTTTCAGATAGTCGGCACAATTCCCACAAGGATTCCGACGGATGTGAGATTACACGTTTGAGACATACAAGTCAAATGCATTATGTTGTCCTTTCATGCATGGCGCGAAACATAGACGTTTCTGAAGAACTTCAAAACAGTCGACTGTGCCGAGTTAACGACAATCAAAACTTTCATTACCGCCGAATGCCCGCCCATCTCCGGGCACTTGTAGACTCAGCTTTAATCACGTGTTCATTTCCACTTAGCTTTGAAATGAAGCATCGCGAGAACAGAGACCTCCCACTTTTCGACGTGCCGATGAAGTGGGCTCTCGCGTTACTGGTTCGGGACCTCTCGCGATATTTCGGAGTTATGGGATAAGACCCATCCTTTGGGGGCGGCGACGCTGGAAGAAGATGGCGGACGAGGCGGGTAGCAACGGGGACGCTTCAGCCTTGCCGGTGGGAAAAGAGGCAGGTGAGGGTGAGGTGTTTCTGCCTTGCTTAGGTGGAGGACCGGCGATCTTGTACCTTATCGTCTTACCTTGTTCCTTTAAGCGTGCAGTGTTGCGTCAAACAGTAAGACCGGGGATGTTGGCCATTTACCCTTCTCCCCGCAGCTCTCAGGCGGGGCTTCAAGGATTGAGACCGGTGGCTGATCCTTCTCCCTCACCCCCACCCCGCGCTTATCACGTGGCAGAACGAGCGCCGCTCCAAACGCCGCTCGTGGATCGCTTTCTGCCTCGTCCCGAAGCGGCTTCGACATTTTCCAGCTCTTGCCCAGCGGGGACTTTTTCCGTTTGAATGCGTTGCCGCGACAGACACGAAGTTGGAGGGCGCTTTGAGATTGAAAAGGAAAATCGGCCGTGACAAGAAAGTCGGGGATCTGGACGGTTTGGAGTCCACGCTTGCGAAAACACGCGCTAAACCCGTTACTTGCTAATAAGATGGTGTGAGAGATCGCCGTTTCCTTTGTGCTCTAAGGAAAACGGGGCTCGCCTTTTGGTCGACAACTTTAGAACTAGTGTCCCGGGGAATTTAGTGGTGTGATGGGGGGGGGGAGAGTTCTTTCCCCGTGGGTTTATCAAGTCCTCCCTCCAGCTGTAATCTTCCAGAAGAATGAACTTGTGAGACTTCATCATCTCCAGCGAATAATAGCCATGGTGCTGATTCTAATAAGAATTAATAGTCCAAACACGAGGGGTTAAAAACTGCATTTGTGTGTTTATAATAGTTTCTAAATCAGTAAGAGCTCAGTGAGTTAATTTTGTGTGGCTTGTTGACTTTTGCCAGTGATTAACTCCTGGCATTGGATTTTATCCTACTTGATATATTGCCTACCTTTATATGCGTAGAAACAGAACTTCCAAAGTGAAATCCCAGAAGAGCTTTTCCCAAACTGTTGCTCATTAAATGTATCCAATTACAACAAGTAGTGGGGAGATGTGTCACATGATGCGTCTTGTCCCCTAATGTCTGGAAAGGTCTTTGTTGAGGAAGGGCTTGCTAAAGAAATGGGAAGTATGATAGATATTTTTACAGGTCATATATTAGAAAATGAAAGAGTTACATTGAAAAGGTGATTTCTGAGATTGCTTACATTGTAAAGAAATATTATTGTTCCAGATGGGCAATTTTTCCTGACAATGTTCTAGATTTCCTTGCAGGCTTATAGAAGGATGCTAATATCTTACTGGGAAATCTTTTTACATCACAGATGAATCAATAGTGAGGGCACATCCAATAATAGTTAAGCACATGTAATAGCTACAGATTTTTAACCCTTGGCTGACAATTCTATGGGTATGTTGCCTATTCTAGAATACCATGGATTGGATTTAGATAATATATAGATTTGGAATGGCAACCTTTTCAGGGCCAAGTCTTTCATTTAATCTTTCATCACATATTACAACCAAACTCAAAAAGTAAGTGTAGAGTTAGTACCAGATCAAAAATGGGTGGATGATTGTAATTAAATATGCTGGTCACAGCAAGAACCATGTTATCAGGAACTTAAGTGGGAAAAATAATGAAATAGAATAGAAGAAAATTGTAGGATGATAGTAGTTATGCAGTAAATGCACAAAAAAAGTTAGTTGTACCTAATGCTTGTTTTCTCAGTTTTCATCAGAATCTTTAACTTTGTTATTGGGGTTGTCAGTTTTCAGCCTAGAATTTTTTTCATCTCTAAATGATGCATGGAATGCTACTGATATATTTTAAATACATTTTCTTAGTTAGAAAAGATGGAGCCTGATTGGGAAGATTTAACTCCACTTCTTCTAGAAGGCTTAAGACTTCTTCCGATGTTATGGATGAAACTCCTTCATTTCAGTCTTTAGTTTTGTTGGCTAGAAGAAGCAATGGCTTTTCTCTCAGTGTTACTTTAAGGATTGAAAAAAAGGAAAGAATTCAAGTCATAGCTGAAGCTTCACAAATCATAAACATTTGGTACTAGCACTGCAATGGCAAGTACAGTAGATGGGCATATCAAAAAACAGCTATAGTAGAAAAGCCATTTGGTGACTAAGAATTAAAGTAAGAGAATGCTGGGGCAAAAATGATTTTATCACTATAGATCTAGATTTGAGCCGTCTTGGGCACTCACACCTGGATCAGTCAGGGGAGCTTTCAGGTAGCAAATGAGCAGTGGACAAGTGCCAGGTCTCTTCAACTAAAGCAACCTTCTGGCAGCCTCTCTCATTCTCCACAAATGAGATACAAGGTGATCTAGGTGAGCATTGGATTATACTAATATTAGTGACCCTCTGGCATCTGAACCATCATTTGGTGTACTAACAATAAGTACTAACAGTACTTATTTTCAGTGGCTTTGGGAGTCCATTTCTGATTCTTGGGCATTAACTGGTAGATTACCAACCAGGAGCCTACCCCTCAAATAATGATCAGTTTAAAAAAAGTTCATTTGGAATATCTGTTAATTCCATTCTAATAGAAAACAGAAAAAAATCCTTCAGCCCTTGTGAAGGTGGAAAGAAAGTGTTAAAGAACAATTTCACCACTTTGGCCTAGAGATCTCGCCTTTAACGTTATGTGAGCGAAAAGCAGGGTAGGGAAACAGTTGCTGGAGTTCTCAGGTCCACTAACAAGACATGCTTCCAAAGATAGAGAAGGTAAGATCCAAAGAAAATGTTCCTCAAATTAATGCCATCATTTTCCATGCAGATGAACAACTGGGGGGAAAAATTGCAGTTGCATCATGGAGCCCACGTGCAGATACAAGTGGGTTTTAAAATCTGTTTCATGGAGACAAGCTCTTTAATTGACAAGAAAATTGAGGGAGAAGTTTTGGCCTTCACTCACCTTCAAAACCAGAGAGAAGGAGTTAAGGATGAAGAAAGCAATGAAGCACCAACTGGATACAGTATGATAGTGTATTCCTGTAGAGTCACATTCCATCAGCTACCAGTGCTGATTGCCAGTTGTAGGACAGTAGCCAAAGCAGACATTCATTTAATATAAAATAGACAAGTTTGAGCCTTTGGGTAAATGCTGCTACAGAATATACTTTAAACTCTACTGACTCCATAGCAATGTATAGTACATCCATATCCTATTGGTTCCATCTTCAGTGATCAAGAAAGTAGTAGGACTTACTTATGAACTACCTTTCTTGTTACTGAAAGATAGACCTGAGAGTTCTATCTTATAAAAGAGGACAGAAACAGTCTTAATGTATTTGCTAACTATTTACATATAGTTTGGTTTTCTCATTTTTGTTGTGGGTAGCAAACTTCTTAAAACTTGCTCAAAATGGAACTATAGTTGGCTGAAATCAGTGTGTGCAATTGAAAAGACAACAGCTTTCTTCTACAGGTCAGGAAAAAGTCTAAAAATTGCCTTCTACCTGGAAGGGGTTCTTGGGTTCATCTTTTGGTTACTAGAAAGGTACTTTTTCCTAGTCTATTCATTTTATTTTATTTACTGTGCTAGTTGGATATTTAGCTATATATGTCTTCTTATATTTATATGGGCATGCTTCTTTGCAGTAAGAAAGGCAAAATGTGGTTACCTATTTAGTTATTAAAATGTTATTTATATTATACTAAGCGCCACCTAGCCAATTATTTTTGTCCTGTTGTTATCTTAAAATAGTAACAGTTGGAAGGGACCTTGGAGGTCTTCTAGTCCAACCCCCTGCTAAAGCAGGGGTTCCATTTCAGATAAATGGTTGCCAGTCTTTTGTTAAAAACCTCCAGTGATGAAGCACTCACAATTTCTGGAGGCAAGTTCTTCCACTGACTAATTCTGGCTGATAGGAAATTTTTCCTAAATTCTAGGTTGAATCTTTCTTCAATAAGCTGCAATTACTTCTTGTCCTGCCCTCAAGTACTTTGGAGAATAGATTGACACCCACCCCCCCTTTCTCTGTAATAGGCCCTCAAGTATTGGAAGACTGCTATCATGTCACCCCAATCCTTCTCTTCATTAGCTAATTAGATAGGAAGAGCATACTGTTCCTTCTGCAGTCTCAGAAAACTGCTGGGGAGAGGCGACCGTAAGTGGACTATTCAGTTATTTTATTCAGAATTAGAGTTAGTTCATCATTGATATTCTCTTATCATTTTTAATATAAGCACTAGCGTGAAGAGCACTTTTTATCATATTTTGTAACAGTCTTATATTTTAAGAGAAATACTGCCCAAGAATGTATTTATTCCATATTGTAAGTTCAGTATAGTTCTTATTAATAATTTACTTCTGTATTCTTTTAATCTTTTAACTATTTTGTACTTATTTTATAATCTGTAAGCTGCCCAAAGTCACTTGTAGTAATGCACATGTAGTAATGGCAACCTTAGAACTCTCATCCCCAAATAGTTTATATTTTCTGACTGAATTGATAATGTGTACTTACTTCCTTATGTTGAGCTTCAGACTCTTCTAAAGTTTAAAAATAGGTAAGGATAATGTCCAAATCTAAACTGATGGATTTTCACTAATTGTTATTACAAGCTGTTGGAATGTTTGTCTGGTAACCATTGTCAACAGGATTAGAAAGGCTGTTCCCAACTACCAGTATTAGGTATGAATCTTTTCTATTAGACTTTTGCGCAGAAATATGATCAGCATCAGAAAAGAGCATCATGTGTTCCATGGTTCTGTTGCTCTCATAATCTTTATAAAAACAAAAATGACAAAGCAGACATTAATTTATAAGATATTCTACAATAAATCTCTTAACCTTATAAAATTGCCACAAATTCCTGTTCTCTGAGGGTAATTCTTACTCTGTTCTATTATTGCTAAGTAAATATAATTCAGATGAGATTTTTTTTCTCTGTCTCTGGTGCTGTTAACAGTAGTATTTGTAAGTGTTGTGTCAGTGTAGTGATTTGCTGGAGTTTGTAAAATGGGATGTGTTTGTACAGAATTACAGATCAACGATAGATGAGATTCTCTATTCACATATATTTTTTTCAGTCTTCTTAATCCATATATACATACCATAGCAGTTACTTGGTGTAGAATAGATACATAATTACACTGGCCATTACATATATTGTTAAAACAGCCAATAAAATGGATCTTTATCTTCTTGACACAATGTGAAATGTGAAATGTTGAAGATTTATAAGCTAAAAACAATGCTAGAACTATAGTTTCTTACAGAAAAAAATTCCATTGATTAGGTTATTCTTTTAACTAAAGACTAATGAAAGCATTGGCATTATATTTAAAATGAATGTGGATCAATAGTTAAAAGAAACACTGAGCCTTTAATTGTGATTCTCTGTGGAAGAGAAGGCAATGGCAAGCTATTTCTATGGACATGAAATCACCCGGAGTCAAGTCCAAGGTCAAGGACACTCTTTTTGTTTAGTTGAGTTAACTGTAATTAATACAATACTTTTTCTGAAAAAATATTTGCTTTTTATCTGATTAAGGCATTAAAATTGTCATTTCAGAACATCTAACTCATATTTGTCAGAAAGCAAAGAATATTTGAGTTCTGTGTTATTCTGGAAAAACCCATGAAGATTGCTAAGTGACTGCAAGAATGTGTAGTTTTTAAATTATTTACACATGTTCACATTCATGTATGTATACATATTTAATGATATTCTTGCCTTTTACAGTGGATCAGCTGATCAAAGAAAATAGCCACATCTTCACTGACACCCAGTGCAAAGTTTGTAGTGCAGTGCTCATCTCTGAATCTCAGAAGCTTGCTCATTATCAGGTGTGCTTTAAACTAGAGGTAGCTGTTGAAATTACTGATGTGTGTATAAAATATCCCAGGTGTGCTTAGTCCTTCTTGTCCCCTGTTATCTTCCTTCAGAGTAAGAAGCATGCAAACAAAGTTCGGAGATACATGGCTATCCATGGGGAAGAGGAATTCTGTCAGAGTAAGAAGATAAAGCTAGATACAGAACAGGTAATACCAGAACTCCAAAGAAGAATAAGCACATCAGACATGCACTATAATAGAAAATCTGTCAGGTGCATTCAGTGCAGCAAGTCTTGGCCAATAGTGCAATGTTCCAAAGATAATTTTTGACATTGGGCATTGTTGCAAAAACATTTAATCCAGTCTTTGATGAAAATAAGTTTAGGAAGCTTATGAGAAGACTACAATTCAGAGACAGTTGTGAATTAATATTGTTACAGAAGCATATAAACCTATTTTAAATTCAAGCTCGCTCTTGTTACATCATTTGTTTGATGATAAGATCCTGCTAGTAAATTATTTCTATTTTACAACATATTAGGCCTTACTTGAATAATTATGTACTAACTTCACTGTCTTGCTTTAAATAAAGAGGACAATATTTAATAAAGAGTGGTGCTAACAGTTTAAGTTCCAGTTTCTGAAAATGGGACATTTTGATATGCTTTCCTTTTGTCCCTTCACTCCCAATAAATGTCTGTGTTCCTTTTTACAAGCAACAGAGCAGTAACGGTGAAGACAGGAACAAATGCTGTCCCATCTGTAACATGACCTTTTCTTCACCTGTTGTGGCTAATTCTCACTACTTAGGCAAGACTCATGCCAAGAATTTGAAACTGAAGCAGCAGGCTCCTAAAACAGAAGGTATGATCGGGAAGGTAAAGAGGAGTTCTCTCCTGGCATTGTGGGAAAAAAAAATCTCTCTTCAGAATAGTCTAGGGTTTATATACATTATAGTACAAACGCTGTACAGCAGTACCTGTCCTCTACATAATAAGGTTCAAGAACATATATATTAAGTTGAGAATTTACACACTGATGTCCCAAGTTTGATGACTGATGTAATGGTAAAAAGCCTGATAGAAGCACACAAAATACATATCCTTGATCATTTTGCTATTTTAGATTATTTGTTTTGTAACCCATATATGTATGCATGCGCTAAGAACGTTCAACCTTTATGCAGACTAAGAAATGAAATTTCTGGCCTTGTGAGGATACAAGTTGGTTTTGTGAAAATATGCTTTTATCTTTCCTCTAATTTTTTGTTTTTTTTAAATCTTTTGGGTTATATTTGTAGCAGCATTATCCATTCAGAAAGAGCCTACTAATCTTCTTCCCACTACTGCATCCTCTAATGAAGAGAATCAAAACACTTCTGACCCAGACAAATTCTGCAATCTCTGCCATGCTACATTCAATAATCCACTGATGGCAAAACAACACTATGTCGGCAAGAAACACAAAAAGCAACAAACCAAGCTTAGGCTAATGGCACACTATGGGAGAACTCCCGAGGAGCCAGCTGTTTCCAACGGTGAGTGTTTTGTAGAAGGCTTTCAGAATAAAGAACAGAATCAGTTGTACATGTTCGTAGTGCCAAAATAACCTTTTGTTTTGTTTTTAATGTCTTACATGATATTGGCTGCTTCACTTTTGTACAGGTAGTCCTCAACTTAGGAACCCCAAATTTCTGTTGCTAAGCAAGACATTTGTTAAGTGAATATTGCTCCATTTTATGACCCTCCTTGCCACAATTAAGTGAATCACTGAATCAGTTGCCAAGAGTCTGAAATTTGATCATGTGATCATAGGGATGCTAGAATGGTCATAAGTTTGAAAAACAATCGTAAGTCTTTTTCTTCCAGTGCCATTGTAACTTTGAATGATCACTAAATGAACTGTTGTAAGTCGAGGACTACCTGTTTTATGTAACTGGAGACAAAATACACTCTTCTACTTTGCACAGTGGGTATATTCACGGGCAGAGTGATTAGATTGGAACTGCTCCTTCTAGATGAGGAGAGAATTAGAACAGTCATCCTGAGAATTCTGGGCTTGGGAAAAAAAAAAACCTCTCAGTTTCTCACAAATGCCTTTAAAACTCTCCCAAATCTAGCTCTTGGACTCTAAAAGGAGAGCAAGAGGGCTGAGGCCAATTCTAAGAGAGGCAATGGTGAGTGTGGGAATTTCTGCATCTAATTCTTATTTTTTCATGAGCTGCAAAAATATGGCTTCATTTTTTATAGTGCTACAATCTAGTGTGGAAGGTTTTGGTTAGAAAGAAAATGAAGAGAGATGTATATGCAATGTATCCAAAATAAATTATGAAAAAGTGGGGAATTTAAATTTAAATGTTGACAGTGATACAAATGATCCATACCATTACTGTAAGTAGAAAGCATGTCAAAGTAAGGATAACATTTGGTAGTTCAGAGGTAAACTAGAATTCGGAATTAAGCAAAATGATTCATGAAGTAAGTAAAATAAAACAAGTAAATAATAATATCATCATCATCGTATGTGGACCAGAAAGATAGAACTCTCAAAATAATATCAAAGTGGTAAAAATATATATTTTAAAGAAATGTTTAAAAATAACTATGGCAAATAAAGCAATAGATTTGTGAATGGTGCTTCGATCTAATCCAAGCCTAGCATTTAATTTTGTAATTTGGAATCTTCCAAAAAAATTGCTGTATCCTCCTATTACCTGTCTATTATAATATTGACGTTTCATAGGAACATACCTTAGACACATTATTCCCTTCAGCCATATGCTCCTCTGTTCCTCCCTTTACAGAAATTCTATAATGATTCTCATCTACCCCATCCTGAAATATTTCCAGGCAGAGAGCTTAACTTCCATTTGTTGCCCCTCATTTGATAAGAATCCAAATGTATCCTTCCAGGTTGCCCAGTTTTGTACCACTGTACGTGCGGTTCATCTTACTTCAAGTTGAAGATTCTGATTCATTTATATGTATTCCTGCAACTTCCTACTTGCTTTGCAGAGATCTGTGATGGAATTATTGTGCTAACTATCCATTAAGTGTTTGTTTTTACAGGTAGTTCTTGACTTACAGCTACTCAATCTTGTGAGCGCCAGTAATACCACAAACATCTTCTTCCAAAATATTTATCTTCATGTATTCCTCTTTACACTTTAAGTATAATAGATAGCGCTCGAGTTATGAAGGCAGTTGAGATTGGAATTTCTTTCACTGAGTGATGTGGTCATAAAGCAAGATGGCATATGACCACATTGCTTAGCAACAGCAATCCTGGATGGAAGGATGGATGAAAAATACTAGATTAGATAGATTCATAATTTGATGTTATTGAGGTTCATAGCAGGGGAAATAGCAACCTAGAGAGCATTATTTAAAAATTCCATAATGAGAATTTTAAGTGATTGTCCAATCTGCAACTTCCATCCTGTTGATTTTAAAAATGGCTGGTCCTGTTAATTATAAGGAATCATTCACAAACATAGCACATTTTGATTTCAGTAGCTGCTTTAAGAATCAACATTTTTTCATTCTTTTCCTCTGGAATGGGAAGAGGATCTTTACATATTTCTTGCCTTTAAAATTATTATAATTCCCAGAGGATCTGACAGATGTGTCTTTTTTTTTTTTTTTGCCTTTTTCAAACATTCATGGCAAAGTATTCATTAGAATATGTTGCTTGCAATTCTTACTAAGGAAAATATTTCTAACATAATTAACCAGAAACAGATGAATTTCAAAACATAAGACTACAATTGGAACAGTGTGTTTGTGTCACATTCCATTTAATAGTTTTTTAACAACAACAAATGTTCACTTTCCTTCTGGTATAGTTTGAGGGTCTGAGAATGAGAGTAATGCAAAGAAAAAAATATCTCTGTGGCAGAAGTTCTACAGTTTTCATAATGAATTTATGCTTTAGGAGATCAGTGATCAGAACTACCACTATTATTTTTTTTAAATACCATTGCAATCATGGTGGGCTCAGAGTTTTATTGGAGCAGCTCTTTGAAAGGCTGTAATATTAATCTCCTCTCTTTTTCCAGATTGAACACACCCATGTATAACAATTGCTTTGTTTGAAAGCATACATTTAAATCCTGAAAACAGTAATGTTCCAATTAAGTTTTGAACTTCCTGCAGATGTATAATTAAAAAATAGGAAAGTTGGATATATGACCATAAATATGCTGTGTTGTATAAATTAAACTGACAATGACTATGACACTGCTTAGAATTCCTAGCATCACAGTACATAGAGTCATTGCTTCTTTACTGTTAATTATATTGATGTGGCTCTTTAATTCAGTTAATTTGATGCTCAAATTTTGTGATATTTTCAGCTGCAAAGGGGTATCCCTGCAATGACTGTAACATAGTACTGAATTCTATAGAGCAGTATCAAGCTCATATCAGTGGCTTCAAACACAAGAATCAGTAAGTGCTTTATCTTATTTATTTTTTAATTCAAAATAACGGATGTATTTTTACAGATTGACCACTGGATTGTGTTAATGTTTAGTGATATATAATGCTTGGTGGTAATAAAGGTTTTGCATCCCTTTATTGAATTGAATTAATATGCTTTCCTTCTAGATGGCCATATAGTTTAATATTCCTTAAAAAAAAATTCCTCATGACAAGCAACCATATGATGCTGAAAATGGAAATTTAGGGACTTTGCTATTTACTTTATCCTTTGATATTCACTCTACCTCAGCCCACCTATGCCAAACCTCACAGAAAAGCAAATTATGAAGCAGTAAAAAAAAAAACATTCTTAATGGACAGGTTACATTTGCCTCGTTATTCTTTCGGATTTCAATATTTTCTGGTTTAAATTGTTTTTTTCACTGTGCTGATAGAGTGATTTTTCTTTTAAAAATCGGGAGGGGTGTGTGTGTTATGTTTGCTGATTTATGTATCTGCAAGTTGCCAAAATATGTACAAGGGGCAATAAGCACAGTGAGGGCATACCAGTACGTTCAGCATTAAGCAGATACTTCTTTATTCTCTGAATTGAATTTCTGTTGTCACACTATCCTTCGTGCCTGCCCCAAATTTGCTCCCAATGCTCTGGAACAAATTTAAGCACAAGAATGGGGATACTAATATTCTAGCCATTTGACGGAGTAGAGATAGTGTAGTCCTCGCTCAACAATCCTGAGACTGGCAACTCCGCCAAGTGAAAGGGGAAGAAGTCATGGGACTAGGACTGTGCTTTCTGGTTCGAAGGAGATAAGATTACCTAGGTTCACATCTTTGGCTTTTGCTTGCCTTCTAGCCATTCCTCTCTGCCTTTGGAATGCTCGAGTGTTGCTTACTGTCTTACTACATTTACTATAGCTGGCCAATCATGCACATTCTCACACACCCTGCCCATGTGGCTATCCCAAGTCCCATTGCATTCACATCGCACCTGCTACTTGAGCAGCCTTCCCAAGCTTCACATTTGCACTGTCTTGCTGGGCAATTGTACACCTTTCCCATCCACTAGCAGCCACCCCCAAGCCCTGTTGCACTTGCACCCTTTGGTCCCCACCATTCATGAAACCTTATGCAGCCCCTCTGAGCCTCATACTCCCCAGCCACCCATGAACCCTTCACTCCCTCTCCCACCGGGCAGCAGCCATTTATTTGCCTGCTAGCCTGCTTATGAACTGCTTGGGACTTGCAGCTTCCTGCTGGATTCTCCACTTTGGTTGTTGGAAGCCAGCAGAAAATTTTGAAGAGGTGTTCACAACAATAGCAACAGGGACTGCAGGAATTGCTGTTGCTGAGCAATGAGTCACATGATGTCACCCTGCATTGCTTAGTGCCTGAATTTTTGGTCCCAATTGCCACTGTAAGTCAAGGACTTATCTATAAAGTAGAGAAACTGCTATTGCTAAAGACTCAGGCATGTGTGGTAGAAGCACACTGCACAAATCTGTACATAATAAATATCTTCAGTTTCCCTGAGTGAGTCCGTTTTTAATCATCTGAAGCAAGTTGTCTCAGAACAAATCAATTGAATAGTTTTGATGTTCTAATTGTATCAGCCAATGGGAGAGTTATTTGGTCAGAAAAGTTTTTTGGAATACTTCGTATAGAACCAAACAAATAATATTAATTATTAAGTTCTTATGTCAAAAAAAAGTTTTAGGACGGAGTAAGTACGCAAAGGTTGTTCATCCTGCCATAGAAAATGCTGCTCAGGAGAAATATCCTATTGCTTTTTCTGATTATCTCTTTTTGAAGGATTACCCAAATTATTAATTTACTGAGTTAATTCCATAATATATTGCACACCACAGTTGGTTTCAGGTAAACTGATTAAAACAACTTCTTTCACAATATAATGTATTTCATAAACTAAGTGATTGCTAAGTGCTGGTAATGCACCAATCAGCCTGCCGGCTGATTATCAAGCTGTTATATGCAAAGTTAAAGTTTCTGATTATAGCTTTAGTTGTGTTGAAGAGCCTTTCTGTCAAAAGTTCACAATATTTCTTCTCGGGTATATATCTATGCTCATTTTATCACCAAGTCCCACTTACAATATATAGAACGATTTTTTAACATGAAAGTGCATGTGCTCTTTTGAAGTGGCTCCTTCTGGAATCTTGTGAGATTTTTCAAGATCCTTTTGTTCTTGATTTAAGCACAGCTTCCAGGAGGCAGATATAATACATTTTATAGATTGAGAGATTGAGCTAATATTGTTCCTTCCCTGTCTCATTCCCCAGCATACCAGGAGGCATTCCCGTAACAGCACGATACCAGAAACAACTGTACACACGAGAGGAAACCGCCGGCCCTGATGGCCCTAGCTGTTTCAGCCAGGACCTCTAGAGCACACTGCTGTGCTGTCTCTCTGGATTGCTCGTGGCTCAAAAGTGAACCCTTTTGCTGGCCTGCTACGATATTACAGTTTCACTGACTAAAAGAAATCCTCCTGGTCTGCACTGTACAGGTTTAGCTGATTGAGAACCAACTATTGGCTAAAGGATTTAGAAGGGACATCATTACTACTTGGCATTTGCTCAGTCCTTTAGAGTAGTTTTCATTGTGTAATCTCTTACTGTAATAGCAGTTGGGGGTGGGTGGGATGTGGGGTTCTCTCGGGACCCATCAAGGCGCTTGGCATTTGCTGAGATTCCATCTTGAGCCCATCCTTCCCTTCTGCCTAGAAGCAGAAAGGAGTCCTGCAACACAGGAACAGCCAGAGGAGATAGACCTTAAGAAGAAAGCTCTTTAATTCATGATAACACAAGGCTTGTTATCTATGAGACATGGAATGGGTGTAATGGACAGACTGACTATCCTTGCTTAGAATTGGGGTGTTACATTGTTGTATTCATCTTGCCCCTGCTGGAATGAATAGGGTTTGTGTGCAGTTTCTTAAGTCATCCATTTTGCCATTCATAACTACCTTGTATTTCAGCAGATGTTGGCTTTGGAGCAACTGGTGGTCTGTTTGGTAAAGTTTTTTTCTGTTAGTAGTACGCATAATCAACTTCAGAAACACAAGAAGGAGGGGGCTCTGGTGCAAATAGTGGTGCCTCCCTAAAACTTCACTCTTTCAGTTCCTGGCATTTATTTTTCTGGAAACTGTAATGTGTTTGAACCTATGTGTACACCAAGTTTTTTATGTTAAAATGTTAATAAGAAATCATTTGATGTGGCGATGGAGGCTCTTAATTTTTTGTTCGTTAAGGCATTCTAACAGACAGAAATAAATTGAGAGAACCCAGAAGCTGCATTTTGACTACCGAGTGGAAGTGGTGTTTGTAGGTGAACCTTCCCTGAGGCTTATTTTATTCTTGGTAATGTCTCTCTTATTTCTTACCTTTGTAACCGTCCTGAAGCTTAGATATTAGGTGATGTGTTTTAGAGGCATCTGTTCTCTAAGACTTCTATTGTCTTTCCCCTGATAAATTTCTAGAATGTAGGAGGGAATTCTACTTAAGTTGATTTGGTTGCATGTTTTCTTTAGAAAAGAAAGAAATTAATCCATTCTGCTAATATTAGATTAATTCCTTCCCTGTGCATGTAAAAATGGAGAACTGCCAATATCCACGTTAGATGTACCCCACCTTTAAAAAACACCTTTCCTATTTAAAACCAGCTAACAAATGCTCTGCTTCAAATGAAGCAGCATTTCATAAGACTTAACTGTCACTTTAAGAGGTCCTTTGCTCAGTAGCTTGTTTAATCTACAATCTTCCTAATGAACAGGAAGACCGTTTTTACTTTCTATTTCTATTTTTTTTAAAAAAAATTAAATTTAATTAAATTTAAATTTAAATTACTTTCTAGGTAATTGATTTCTAGGTCCTGCATAGTCTTTCCTATTATCACTTAATCTTCTTAAATGAAGCGAGTTGGCAGGAAATGGGTATGAAAATTGGGGTATACTACTATTTTATATAGTGGCAGATCATGTGAATTTGCATCCCTTTCTGATTGAGTGAGATTGCCTGGCATTTTTACCTTTTTGGGTAGCCTCTATTTCCACCTGCGTTATTTATGAGATTGAAATACATGAATATTGCTACCTTATATATGTTCACTGGCATATATCTGTGTTAATGTGTGTGTGTGCGCACATTCCGTTTTAGTCCATTGATTTTTTTAAAAACAATTAAAAGAATTTTATCTTTGTGTTTCTACTTTTCCAGCTGAACTATTATGGTAAGGTTCAAAATAGACCAGAAGGACCTTTTTCCCTATAATGATTTATTTCCATTGATTATCATTCCTGGCAAACCCCTTCTGCTGTTTTCTTTGGGCATAAATTATTCTCCACCACTTTTGCCCAATTCAAGCAATTATTTTTAAAACTGTTTACATTCATGACTTTGTATTGACTTAATGGGGTTAATTGTTCTGAGGTTGCATCTCATTTCCAGTAAATTCTGAAGTGAGCCTCCCTTCTTTCCCTCAAAATATAGTTTATCTTTACAAGAAAAAAGGAGTGATAGGATTTAAATAATATTGTGTGTAAATCTATGATAAATATATACACGGAGACACTTTCTCATGACAGTTTTCCTGTGAATAATCCTTCAAATATTATCTTCTGACTTTTGGTGGTTATGTATACATTAACTTTAATTTGTTTCTTGGCATTTAAGTTCTCTGTTTTGGCATTCTCATTCTCCAGCATCTTGTGCACTATTTGGGATTTGGTCTGTGATATGCCTAGTGAGCTTTCACAGTCTACATTGTAAAGTTTTGGAGAGTATGGTTGCCTGTATGAACTTTTGACTTTAGAACTTTATTTCTATTATATATTGAATTATTTTGCAGTTGCTAAGTTGATAATTTTGGCAAATGCAAGGGTGAACAAGTAGTCTGTTACTTCAATAAAGTGATTAATATTTTGGTCCAGACTAAGTACAAATGGGACAAGGTAAATTTGTGAGGTACAATTAACCTTTTGCCTATTTTCTCTTTTTTAAATAGCCAGGCATCCTCTTTCTTATTTTAGAGATTAAAGAATTGGTTTTTTATTCATAGCAAGTGTATGTGTTGCTTGTATAATATTTGTACTTTGGAAAAATTATTCCCATCAAAAGCTGGGTTTCAAAATCACAATTCTGTACATACATCAAATATTGCAATATGTGAATCTATATCATAAATTTAAAATACTTAGGAAAAGTGTTGGGACAGAGGCTTGTGACAGGTTTCATTCTTATATTTAAACCAAAAATCTTAACAATTCATATAGCCGTAAATACCATCTTCTACCATTTTTTATATAGTACTAGGCATATATAGACTTATTTACTGCTCTGAACAATGTGTATATAGTGTTATGGTAAGCGCAGATAACTGTTTTATTCATTCATTTGAATGAACACTTCTGAAAAATTGGGGATGAGATGAAATAAAGATATAGATGGGTATTAATTTGGAAATATCTGATGCTTAAACTGTATTTTATTGTGTAAGTTTAACAATGTAGAATATCATTGCTTGCCAAACTTATGAAAATTAATTTCATCCTGTCAAATAGCACCTTACCTATAATAATCTAGATGATAAAAGCAGTGGGTAAAATTAATTTAGAAAAGTGAAACATTCCTTAATAATCTGTTATTGCAGAATTAATTTTTAAAATTATTGTTTTTCTGAAGACACTCGCCTTCCACTCAGAAGGTTGAGAAGTTCAATCCTAGGCAGTGACAGATGTTTCTCTATCATGGCGCAAAGAAAAAAAGTAAAAAATTGCTGCGAGCTCCATGTAGGCGTCAGGAAGGGCATCCAGCTGGTAAACACTCAGTTCCATTCAATTGCCCCGACTCCATCCCAAAGCAAGGGTTTACAGGGTTGTAAAAAGAAAAATGTTTTTCTTAATTATTGCGTCGCAGAATCAGAATCATGAAAGTTTGTAAATAGCTGGTCACGCTTATAGTGGATGTTGAACGTGAAAGAATGATCCATACCAGGGGTTGCCAACCTTTTGGACCTCAAGGACCACCAAACTCATAATTTTAAATCCCGCAGACCAGAGACCCTGGGAAAATCCCCCAAAAAGTCTGCACGGAAATTCCCCACCCCGTTTTTTTTCCCCTTCCGATCGATCATTCTTTATTTGGGATTGCAGGATACCGTCTCCTGTTCCGTTCTCAGGGGGAGAGAGAGACTTTTGGCTTCATGCAAGGAAAGCAGCAGAAGTCTTTCTTTCTCTCCCCCAAACTCTGCCAGAAATGAGTCTTTGCTGGAGCAGCCTCTTGGAGCAGGATGCCTTGCAGGGTACCAAAGACTCATTTCTGGAGGAGTTTGAGGGAGAAAAAGAAAGACTTTTGCTGCTTTCCTTGCGTGCAGCCAAAAGAAGAAGAAAGAAGCAGAAAAAAGCAGCCCAGTGGCCAGACGAGGTGCGTGGGGCACATGGGGCAAGTTCCCCCCTTTCCCCTCCTCCCCTCACTACCTCGTGTTGTTTGCAATGCAAGTGAAACAAGCCTTGTGTTCCCACGGGCCATGTGGGTGGCGCAGCCTTGTGTTCCCGCACAGCCTGGATTAATTGCTTTGGGGGTGACATTTCTCTGTGGACCATCAAAATTTTCTCACAGACCACCAGTGGTCCCCGGCCCGCTGGTTGGCAACCACTGATCCATACAGTCTATCTGCACTTTGCAACTAGACAAATGGGCCCGCCATCTGATGAAAATCTTCTTTATAAGCATCGTTAAAATTGGAGCCATTTTTTTATCACAGTAATTATTAGATCCATATATTAGGAAAGAACAAGTCATTTATTTTACTAGTTTTATAAAAGCTGGTCTAGTTCAGTTATGGCTGCCAACAATTCATAAGATTGGTGGCGGACATGATAGATCATCCTGGTTTTTGTGAATTACTCTCATCTTAGGAACGTTTCCTAAATATAGTTACTGAATTTTTGAAATTCAACTGGGTTTCCAAAATCCAGCACTGCAATTTGCCAAGCCTGAATGTCTCAGTGGGCTAATCCTCCTTGTTGGTAAAGTGCTTTAAAAGTTAATCCAGCAGCCTCCAATCTTTGGGCATCAGGGACCAGTTCCCTGGAGAGAGGTTTTTCCAGGGACCAGAGTGGGGCGTGGTTTCACATGCTGCCTGCATCCCGTGGATGGGGCTTCGTTTGTTTGTGCGGCCTGATTTCTGGCATACCATGGACTGGTGCTGGTCCATATACCGGGAGTTGGGGACCCTAAATTAACCCACTTCAAGGTTTAAAAATAAGTAGAAGCAGCACATCAGAACGTTTGCCTGATCAGTGAAGAGCTTTTTTTTTTTTTCAAAAGAAAACAAAGCTGCAAATATAGAGAGGAGACAGGTAGTTCTCATCCGACGACTCCAATTGAGCCCGAAATTTGTGATGCTAAGTAAGAAATTTGTTAAGTGAGTTCTCCCCCTTTTTACGACTTTTCTTGCCACATTTTACTAAGTGAATCCTTGCCATTGTTAAATTAGTAACACGGTTTTAATTGAATCTGGCTCCTCCGTTGACTTTGCTTGTCAGAAGGTGACAGCGTGTGATCCCAGGATGCTGCCACTGTCATAAATGTGAGCCAATGGTCAAGCGTCTGAATTTTGACCACATGACAAATGGGGATGCTGCAACGGTCGTAAGTGTGAAAAACTTTTTTTCAGAGCCGTTGTAAACTTCGAACAGTCACTCAATTTTTGTCATAAATTGAGGAATACCTGTCCAGGGAGTCTTCCGCTTACAACCACAACTCTGAGTGGAATTTTCATTGTTGAGCAAGGTGGTTGTAAAGTGAGTTATACCCGATTTTATAACCTTTTCTGCCACAGCTATTAAGCAAATCACTGCAGATATTAAAGGAATCCCCTGGTTGCTGATGCAAATCTGGCTCCCCCCCACCCACCCACCCAATTGACTTTGCTTGTCAAAAGACAGCTGGGAAGATCCTCAGTGGCAATCCCCATCCTGGGCTTCTCCAACAGTTGCATCCATCAGGTCTCCCCCCCCACACACACACTCCTCCTCATGGCAACTCAAGAGGAAGCCAGGAATGCTTTACTGGTTATGTTGTGCCAAGCATCCAAATTTTGATCACATGACCCTGGGGACTGCCATAAGTGCCAGGACCTGGTCGTAAGTTTTTTTTTTCTTTTTCAGTGCCATTGTAACTTAAAATGGTTACTAAACAAATGGTTATAAGTTGAGGTCTGTACTCGGCAACCACCACAAAAGGTAGTCCTCAACTCATGACCGCAACAGAATGTCCATCCCTAAGTCATGTGACTCGGCATTCAATTGTATCTTTTTGGCTGTGGTCATTAAGCAAATCACACAAGTTGACAAGTAAATCCAGGTTCCCCCATTGACTTTGCTTCTTGGAAACCCCCTGGGTAGGTCACAAAGGGTGTTCTCATGTGATCCTGGAACACGGAAGGTTTGCAAATGCATACTTGGTTGCTGAACACCCAAATTTTAATCATGTGACTGCATTGACACTGAAACCGGGTCAAAGTGCAAAGATAGGTATAAGTCTCTCTTCAGCACCAACTTGTAACTGAACAGTCATTAAACAATCGGTTATCAGTTGAGGATTATCTATATGAAATAGCTTGGTTTCTCTCGGTTTATTTGTGATAACTGCAAAAAGCGAGAAGAGAACAAATTCTGCTACTATCACTGTCTAAAGTAAACCCTGCCACTTTCCCCAATAAATTGTTGTAAAATGAGAAACTGAATGAAATGGTCCCACTCCCCAGTTTGTGGTTGCAAATGAAAAGAATTTCAAGAAGCTTTGGCAGAAAGGTGGAGATTCAAATTGCTTAAAACAGATTATAGATCTGCTGAGATCTTACAATGTGTGGCCACATGGGGGAGATGGAGAACCATTGTTATGAATTGTTTAAAGTTGGAATACAAAATCCAGTCGGGGCCTGCCCTCGTTTGTTTCAAATGATTTCAGTAAACTCATTTAGTGCTACAGTGCTAATTTCCTAATCTGATGTGAACATTTGTTCTTAATTGAAGCGCTGCCTTGCTGCCAACTCAATAAAAGGGAGTTGTACATTTTGCAGTTACCTTTCTTACTGCCAAGTTGAACAGTGAATAGCAAAAGGAAAATGCAATGTAGTAGTAGAAAATTATATATGAGCATTTGTATACTCTTGAAATCCAACCTTCAACTTTGATTCTAGAAATGTCTGGTTTAACCCAACATTTCATGGTGCATTAGGTTGGGCAAGAGTATCTTAGCTTTTTACTAATTTTTGCACATAACTTAGCTCTTTTTCATAACGAAACTCATAGCTAAATATGAATCCTGGGAGCCTCCAATTATACTGTGTGTGTTTGTATGTTTGTTTGCAGGTGATTGCCATTTTTTTATTTTGCAGGTATGTGAGATAGTGTTTCATCTGGAACAATAAATGGCAGTGAAAAGATATTAAAGATGAAAGAAACAATACAGATTTGGTGTGTGGCTCAGTTCACTTGTCCTTGATCCCAAATAAGTTACTTCTGTGGATACTGCTCAGTTGATAACTGTACCAAGTTTTGCCTCGACCTTGGTATAATTTTTCAAGGGTGATAGTGTCTTGGTAAATGAGGCCTTAGGCCCATCCAATCTAACTTTCATGTGTTATGGGAACCTCACAAACCTGGAAAAGATGATGCTGACTCTCTTTTAGTATTGATTCCCAATGACCAGTAAATACAGCATACTGCCTCTGATGAAATGGTAGATGACTTGCTTCCTCCTAAGGAGAGCAGAGGGCTAATGTAAAAATTCCTTATAAGGCTGGTAGGACATAAAGCTAGAAATGGGAGACACATATGAGGGGAGAGGGGCAGGGAGAGGGAAAGGAGACAGGCAATATTAAAACGGGAAGACAAATGGCCCTAATAAATAAATTCAACTCTGAGTAACTTAAGCACAGAATTTTCTATCTCTAAAAGGCAACTTGCACTCCATATTTTCAATTCATACAATTTTTGTTCAATAAGGTTTTAATTCTTTTTGAGTTGAGCAAATGAGAGCATAAGACACACTATGTATGCCCTAGGGTATGTGCCACAGGAAAAGCGCTTGTATATCAAATAAAAGTACTTTATTTTGGGTGGTAGCCTCGTGTTTTTAAGTAATATTTATCCACCTGAGGTACTGAAATGAAATTGTGCTACTTCTTACCAAATAAACATGGTTTTACCATATTGCTTCTGATTCAGGAGGTAATATAATAAGTACTCGTGCATATTAGGAGCAATGATTATCTAAACTAGAGCTGTCAAATTCCCTGCCCATGGGCCAGATGCTTCACATGCTGGCCATGCCCACACCCAGTTCAGCGAAGGAGGGAAAAGTCCCAATATGTCACATGACGCCACCATGATGATGTAAGTTTGACACCCCTGATCTAAACCATACCCTTTTAAAATTATCCAAGCTGGGTAACCATAATTGCTTACTGTAGAAAGCATAGAAGTGCTTCAATCAGTTTTAAAGTTCCTTACATTTTATTTTGAAATGGATTACCTCAAATTCTTAACACCGCATGTATGAGAAATATCCATCGTATTTATGCCAATATGATTTAATATATAGTATCTCCTCTTACTTGCTATCCAAGCAAAACAGGCTTTGTTGCTATAGGCTTTTCTGATAGAGGAGCTATTCCACCTCATTTTAGTTGCCATTTTTTGCGACTTTCTATATGCTTTTCTTACAGGAAAGTAAGAAAAACGGCAAAAATAGAGATTTACAAGCATTTTACTTATTTGTTTATCAAATTTATATGTCACTTATTTCACTATCAAGCAACACTGGGTGGCTTACAGTGTCATAAAATGATGTTGCATAAGATCAAATTAAAAAATAAGGTAATGTCGGATCAGTGCTGCATATTACACTCATATGAATGCACTTTAGAATATTCCATTTATCAAGGTAATATACAGTCATGAAGAATAACTAAATATAAATCGTAAGTCAAAGAATTATAAAGGTTTTTGTCTAAATTATTATCAAATAAAATTTAGTTCTGAAAACCTTATGTTACAAGAAATCCAAGCTTCCAATGCAGTAAGAAGCCCATATGTGAAATTATAATCTACGAATGTTACCAACTTCGGTTAAATTCTGTATCAGATAGTTTTTTCAAATAAAAAGTTATTTTTGACATTGATGCACACTCCCTATTTTAAAGTGCACTGACCAGAACTGTATACAACACTCCCAAATGTGGTTTCTATAAAAACTGCATTACATTTGTTAGATTTATGTTCTATTCCCTTAATGATATCAGGCATGGAATCTGCCTTTATTCAGTAGCTGCACACCAAGTTGACATTTTTATTGAGATAACTACCATAACTCCAGATGCCTTTCCTAATCATTCACTGCCAGCTCAGATAAAAAGATGGGAATTCGTTTGTGTTTTGTGCCAATGTGCATCATTTCATTCCTCTTTACGCTGAACTGTATCTACTTACTTGTTTACTTAGCAATATTTAATTGAATCCATACAATTCCTGGATAATGTGTAATGTTTCAAAATACAATTTAAAAATCAAGTAACTATGATGGTCACTTGAACAGAACTTAAGGCCAAAAACTTGCTAAATCCAGCCTGTGGAGCCAGCCTGGAAATAGCAAAGGACCAGCCTGCGGTGCCTCTGGAAGCCAAAATGGGGCATGGGGGAGGGGGGGCTCACATGCTCCCCAGCACTCCATTTTCAGCCTGAACAGCCATCTCCCAGGTTACAAATCAATTCTTTGCAGAGGATTGTAACCCAGGATTATTATACAGGGACCAATATTGTTGGATTGCCCAAATGTTTACTGAGAAGCAGCATCTCTGTCCATCAGATTCAACAGGCTCAAAAAAATCCTGTTACCACATGAGACACTGCCTCACTCATCACTTTTAGACTGTCCAACTGGCATCTAGAACAGAGTGAATATGAGATACATTTTCTGCTAAGAAATCCACCCATTCATTTGGCATTCCTGAAGGACCTTTGTCTCACCCATCTTTCCCTAAAGTTGCCTAGGTTACTCTAAACAGGGCTGCCAGCCACAAAACTGCAGATGCAGCAAATATGAATTTATACTTACCTGCTTTGATTGTTACTGTGTAGTCTCAAAACTGAGCTCTTTGTTGTGCTTGATTGCAACCAAAGCTATTTCCTAGTTTGGATATACCTTCTTAGAGCTCTTTTTAATTTTGGAGCTCCAAGCTCTTGTTAGAAAAAGTAATTTCTCTCCACAATCCTTGGAGTTTGTTTAAAATGCTAACAATGGAATCTGTTAGTAAATATACTAAGCTTAGGTAAGGTATTGGCAAAATCCAAGGGACCAATGAACAGCTTAGCAACGCATTAAAGCAAAGAGTTCTTGAGCTTCTGTTGAAAGTAGGATATACATCCAATAAATAAGAATTAATGGCTGAATGAGATGAACCATAAGAAACGAACTGGTAAAATAACAAATGCAGGAAGAATTTGAACAGCATGAAGAAACTAAGAGAAAGAACATCCAGAATTGAAATATACTTGGAATAGGAAACTGACAAGAAGGCTATTGGCTAATTAGGAGAGATGGAAGGGAGGTCAAATGTATGCTAAAGGATAATAGGAAAACAGCAAGGAAAGAGAATTCAGTCTTTATATCTGTCATCAAGGGTGAAGGACAAATAGGCATGCCTAAGATGGCTTTTTGGAATGAAGATTGAGCAGTTTGAGATAAATAGAAGTAATAAAATATTTAAATAAACACCAAATTAACACACTGAAAATAAATAATCCTTGGGTGAGAAAGTGCCCACCAAATAGTTTTCTAAAATTTAAATATGTGACCCCAATTTTTTAAAAGGAATTGAGTAATACAAAAAAACTATAAAACAACTCAATATCTGTTCTGAGAAAAATTGATGAAGGTATTATTAAAGTAAATAAATCTACAGAGAAAATTATGTGGCCACCAGAATTCAACGCTAATTTGATGGCACATAATCAATCAATCAAAAATAAACAAACAGAACCATGAGTCTTGATGGAAAGGAATTGCTTTGATTTCTGCAAACATAAGACTTGCCTTTGAGACCTTATCAGGGGATATATCAACAAGTATGTAGACAAGGCTGATGACTCAATAGATGCTGTATACTTAGATTTACAAATAGTTTTAACAAAGTCTCTTAGCAAAGGTCCCTGAACAAATGCAGGTGTTATGGGATAAGAGGAAGAATTTTTAATGGATTGGTGATTGGCTAAAAATAGGAAACAGAATAGAAATATGCAAGTAGACAATTTTCACAGTGGCAAGGTGTACATAGCAGAAAAAGCATACAAACCAATGCTTTTTAGCTTATACAGAAACAGTCTTTACAGCAGTGAAGTGGCCAAATTTGTTTATAATATCATAAACAAATTTGTTTATGATATTATAAACAAATTTTATATTATCAAAAAGAGATTTTTAATCTTCCTTTCAACGTAATGTTTACCAATTTTCTAATTTTTAGAATTTTTTTTGGGGGGGGGGAAGTGTGACATTCCTGGATTTCTTTAGAGGCATCTCTTTACGTCCACTGCTTATAGCAGTATTAGTTTCTAATCTATTCTATAAAATTTAGGTCTTGAGCTTCTAGATTCTACTTAACACTATGTCCTACGTTGCATTTATCCTTTTTAGCTCCCTGACTGGCTATTCCAGGGCACAAGAACTTAGATCACTAACCGTTAGCTTCAGAGCATATTTTTTTTCCATTTTGTAGTAGGAAGTCAGAATTTGCCCATTATTATTCTTTCACTTTTGTGTGTTGATGCTGCAAATCTCTGATTAGAGAGCCACAATAAGTTGACAATCAATTGGTGAGCAAAACTCTCTTGCAAGCAGTGTTTATTTGGGTAAGCAAAAAGCAACAAAGCCATCCATACAGTTTCTTGGCAATATTCTTAGAAGTGCTTTGCCAGCTCCTTTGTCCAGGATGTGGAGGAGGGGGGTTGCCACCCAGCTGGCATTTTTGCATAAGAGACAACTAGAACCTGGGTCTTTTTGTTCCTAATTCAGTGCATTAACCACTATGCCAAACTTGTTGTTGGGAGGTGCTTTCTAGGACTTAAATCTAGGACTTAAGTCTAATTATATAAAGAAACAAACAGAACCCCAAGAATTACCTTTGGATTGCTATCTACTTAAATAATTCATGAATTATCTGGAGGGAGGTGATATATTGAAAGACCAAATTTATAGATGACATCAAGTGCCAGGACAATGAAAATTCCAATTAGCTGCCAATAGCATCCAAAAGTGATAATCATAATGATAATAGTGTGGAGTTAATTGAAAGTGTCAGTGCTATTCAGTGAAAAAGGAACATTTGATATAAATCCTGTTAGGTAGATCAGACCAAGAAATCAATTCCACTTGGGAAGCCTAAAAGCACTTTTATCAAGATTGGCTATAATAAGGGAATCATGCAAGTTTGATAATGTTGCAATACCTCCAACTGAATTAGGAAGGTGTTAGAGCCAAATAATATATACTGTATCTCTGTTGCGGACTTAAAATAAGCTTTAACCTTCTGCTTACATATCTCAGCCAAAGTAATGTTCCTACTCTCAATGTAAAAATATTATTTAATGTAGAAACCAATGTAGAAAAAGATAAAAATACTTCCTTACCAGCCATCAACACCTGGATGAGCAGAGAGTAACACCTAGACCAACAACCAAGAAGTAAACAATACCCTAATCAAGGAATTGCCAACTCAGACAAACAAGCTAATGGTAAACAACACCCTAATCAAGAAATCACTAAAACCATTCCCATCAACATTGGCAAGGCAAGCCATTAGTGTACAAAATGAGAATAAACAACATTCCCTTTTGCACTGTTGTTAAACTAATTTGGTAATGAAGCATCTGCAAGAAAACAATCAAGCTCTGAACGGACCAAGGACCCCACAGTTCAATCCTGAGCTACAAATATTCTATCAGAAACCTTTCAGAAGTTGGGTTAAAATAAAACTGCTAACCATATTTGGGTCTAGAAAGAGCAATTAAGTCAAATACACCCAGTCTATAAACAAAATGAAATGAGTGTTTTCCCACACAGCACAGATAGTTGTCATCTACTGTTGCTGTTGGGCCAATTCTCCTTTCCCTGAATCTATTAACAGATAACCAGCATTTCCAAACATGTCTTACTTCCTCAGGTCTGCAAGTTCTACTCTACCTGTGCCAATAATAAAAGCCACCAGACCGCCACCTCCTCCAAGCAGATTGAGCCCAACCTATTAAATCAAGTAGGAAGGAGCTGCTTTTGGTCCCACATTTCTGAGATATTAAGGGAGCCAAAGTGAGGAGGACTTTGCTTCTCCATGAGCTCTGCTAATGCTACAAACTGACTCCCAATTGAAATCAGATTGGGTCCCTCCTTAATAGGTTTTAGGAAGTTATTCAAAATGGCTTTTTTTTTACAGAAACCTTCAGGAACATCAGCTGTGCCTTTTTTTTGTCTCCTACTTCAGTTTTGTTTTTTTTGTGATTTGGATAGCTTGTTTTAATTCTGTTGCTGTTTTTACTGTGATAGTGTAACCAACAGAAGTCACAAGATTATGGCTGGATTAAATCGAATAAGGAAGAATAAAATGATACACAGTAGTATCTGCCAAATTTCTTGGCTCTTAACAGAATATTTATAGTGCACACTTATAATAGAACACAGGTGCCTATATGAAGCTTTGCATGAGACTGTGGCAGTTGGCATTAATTTACATGGTTGCTCTGAACTTGCTTTTACTCCACCTGCATACATTTCCTGTTTTTGTTTATGCCAGGCATGCAGGATAACTTTCAGCTGTGTTTCAATGCTTTTGCATCCACATCCTGAACTTCCCTGACAAAATTCCATCCTCTAAAAAAAACAGAGCCTATGAAAAGAGCAGGGAATCAATATTCTAGCCTCAAAACGGAAAGTGAGCAGGCTGAGCTCCCTGAATTGATCAAACTGCAGCTGCTGCATCTGGAGTAAAGTGAAACCAGGCCTTGGAGGTACTGTTTATGCCAAGGTTTTGCTGAGGTGGCCTGGGATGCGCATACTCCCACCTTTAAGCAACAAGCCACCAGAGGCCCAGCTAGGCAATTTAACTCTGAAAACTCGGTGGGATTATAAAAGATGATCTCAGTTTAATATTTTAGTAAGAAACTACTATAGATCTATAGATTATATATTATCAGGCAAGTGCTCCTTTGTGAGGGTACCTCTGCGGAATCTGCAGCATGATCCTATTTAGTAACCAAAGGGCCCCCAAAGACCAGCTTTCACTTGTCTAGAGTGGAATTGACCTACAGTATTTGGTGTCCAAGGTGCTGTCGCTCATTGGGAATGTTCCAGCTATTGATCCTCCATGCTTCTGAACACATACTAATGCTTTTCTTTGACAAACATAACTAAGCGTAGGGCAAAGTTGCACAAAGTCCAGGGACATCGTTCCGCAGTTTACTAGAAAATGGCAGCCAAGATAAATATGCTCAGCCTTCTTCTGCAAGGTGTCCTCCAGATATGGCAGAAGTGCAACAAACACCCCAGTTAGGAAATGTTGACATACAGTACTTTGCCATGTTGAGAATGCTACAGGAAATCAACTCCTCAAACTCTTTAGTTCTGGCTCCCCAACCCATTGCTTGTCTACGATCCACAATCCCCGTTTGTTTCCTTGATGTCCTGGCCTTTATTTACATTTAGCTAGAAACAACTGATGTTGCATGGCTTCCATCTCCTTCTCCTCCCGCTCACCTCCAGTGATTTGTTAGATTTTGTCCCCGTTACAACATCCCTCCCCACTCCTGTACACAAATCTGCTGTCCTGGTTTTGGAAGTCTCTGCACCCTTCCCTCCTCTTCCTCCACTCTGGAGCCTTCTGGGGTGCAAGGCCCTCCCCCCCTTCTCCTAAACGCCAGGGCGGCCTGACCTCTTCTCAAAGGCAGATCAGACAGTTCCTGCTCCTGTCCGTGACTGGAATAGGCTGGCTGGATTAAACATTCCTTCTGCTGGGCAGGGAGGGGGAGGAGGGGGAGGGCTGGAGTTGATGCATTGGGAACAGAGGCGGGGGGGGCTGACCAGTGAAACACGGCTTTTCTTGGCAGGAATGGAGCAAGCACTTAATTTCTGCCTATTGCTTGGTGGGAGAGGGAAGGAGGATTAGCATAATCACCTACAGTGTTTCCCTGGAGAGCCCGGATTGCGCAGGCATGTGGAAAAAGGAGCTGAAGAGGAGCCACTGGCTACTGGTCACTGGGGCTGGCTCAATCCATTAGAAGTGGTTAAGGTCAGGGCACTTTCCCAGCTGCTAACTGTCCCAAAAGCTGCTTTGCAGGGGGGAAAGGACTGTGGCTACTTTGCCCCCACCTGGGCACCCCGGACGTGTTGGCTTAACGTTCACCTCATCCTTGGCCAGCACATACCGGAAAGACAAATCAGCATCGTAAAGTTTGCACAAGGGACCTGTATGAATTGAGAAGCAAATTTCAGGAATGGAAAAACATGTTGGATATTGGATATCAAAACATGTTGGATATTGAGAAAGAACCTAGCTTAAACAACAAGAGTAAAATGTTGAAATGCCCTGTCTGTTGCAAACAGAGGTACAAGGATACACATTACCATATTCTCATTGTGGTAATAACCTGTCTCTTCCCATTATAATCCTCAAAATTCAGGATCAGGGATCAAAACTGTGAGAAACTTAGGCCCATTTGAGTGTAGGAAACGAACACACACATCCACCTTTTACTGTTTCATGCCTCCTGTGGTTTGCCAAGGAACCAACCAGAGCTTCATTTTGCCTCCAGGCACTCTCAGTGGAAAATTGCCGATGTGATCCAAACACTGCTAAAAAAGCAACATATGGATATATAATTCCCTTGCCATGCTTCATTGCTTTTTCCCTCCTTGCGTTCTCCTTACAGGTGGTGTGCACAGGTAAAAGATGTGGAATTGCCCAGAGGAACAATTTTTCTTCTCATAAGTGCTTCATTTATATTTAATCACTTGCGATTGCTTTACATGTTCAGTTTTGTATGTTGTATAAAAATTACTTTCAATGGCCAGGATGTTTTTGAGGACAAAACTGCAGATTGCCCAAAGAAGCCATTATTAAAACAACTTTGTCAGAAAGACGTCTTTTGTGGTGTCTGTGACTTCATTCTGAAAATGCTGGTATACAAGTCTTCAAGTGCCAGTTAAATATTTATGTTAAAAATGGAGCTGTAAAATAGCATTAATAAAATGAGACTTAAACAGAGAGAAAATAGTAATAAGGAAGGTATAAAAGCTATTCTTTGTCACTATTTAAAAAGTTAGAAGAGGGACCTTGACCTGCCCCAGTAGATTGATTGTGCTGTTATCTGATATTTCCATAGGGTTTGAAAAGAAACAGGAGGATGGGCAAAGCCCAATATAACTGTTGCAATCTAAACAACTACTGGTTGAAGTCTGACGTTCTACACCTCATGTGGAAGCCATCCCCGGTTTTTATGTAGACAGTAAACAAAATTTGTCTTACAGAGAAGACAAGGTACCAGTACTTTTCTTGGCGTAAGGCAGTGGTGGAACATTCATCTCATGTTAAGATGTCAATGTCACACAGTAAACGATGACAAAAACTTTTGAAAATGGAGTTGCAAAGGCAAGTTGCTGTACCAGAAGCTAAATGTAGATTAGCATTTCTCCACAATGTTCCTGAAACCCTATATATTCGGATACCGCCAAATATTGCAATGGTTGCAGAGCTAAGAAAATGCATCTAATCTAATCAAAAATGAATCCTTGTGCTTTATCTCCGATTCCTTCCTGAGGGATGTGGGTGTGGGTGTATGTGTACCCATGCAGCATCTTAGCTATTCCTAGCACTGCACTCTTCTGAACAGAGAGCTCTGACATTTTTCCTGGGATATATTGGAGCAAACTTAAAAGTCACAGACCAAGTGTTCCTTCCAACAATGGGACTCTTTGGCCTTTACTTTCCACATCCTCTTCAGTTCCTCCTTCAGATCCTGATACTTCTCCAGCTACTCAAGATTCCTTCTCCCTGATGTTGCTGTCACCACTGCTG